TCGTCCAATGAGATCATGACCGCATCCGGTGTCCATCAACCACTTCACCCTTTTGCAAATACATGTCGACATTGCGAACACATTCTTCGGCAGACCATGCTGTTTCTTCCAGTCTATGACCGCTTCCTTGATCTCCCTCAACCCAATCATACTCAAACACGACGGTGTTCTCCTTGGTCACCGGAAAATAGTGTTTTCTGTAGACATCGTCCACCACCTCTTCCAGTATCCTTGCTCTTATCAATGATCGTTGGACTTGATAGGCTGATAATTCTCGATGATCACTGTTCTTGAACTTCTTCTCGTCAATGTGCACGTACTGATAAGGACCATTCTCATTGCCCTCATAACCATACCACTCTTCCTTTCGTTCCCATTGCCTACTTTCGTCTTCAAGATAGGTGATTTCCCCATTCTCGTCGACGTCGAGTACTTCCTTGAACCATACCATTTTCTCGGGGATCTCGGACTCACCAGACCATCTTGACGATTCACTCATGGCATCGTCATCACGCTCGTGGTAGACAGTCTCGGCTTCATCCGGTTCAACTTGATCAACGTCCTTCCTGCGCAGGGACCGACTGCTTCAATACTATCGCAGGCATGGCGATGGCCCTTCTCGCAATCGCAGGTGCTGCGGCCTTGGGGGCAGCCTTCGACTTGGCTTGCGCCTTGTCTCCTGACGTTGCCGGAGCCGAGTTGTTCTTGAAGATCTCACGCTTGAATTTGCAAGCGCTCCCTTTCTCACACTTTCCCTTCTGGAACGCGAAGCACACCCCATCCTCCTTCTTCGGCGAGGATGATCTGGATTTGGACTTCCCCTTCCCTTTTCCTTTAGGCATGTTCTCCAGCTTGTGCTCCGTCTTCTTGCTGTGAGAAAATGTGCATTCGTTCCCCTTCAAGCATCCCTTCTCCGCTTTGAAGTGATACCAACATGGATTCTCTTTGCTTCCGCTCGGACTCTTGCCCCTGTCGTTGGCACCGTCGGACTTGCCGTTCTTGCCAGCGTGACCCTTTGCTTTGGCTCTCGGGAGCACAGGAGCGGCATCAGGTCCATTGGATTTGCCCTTTTTGCCTTTTCCACCCTGGCCCTCCTGCTTGCCAGCAGCTGGAGCCGCGTCTTTGCCGCCTGACTTCATCATTGATTTGACCGACTTCTCCTTCGTGTCGAGCATCAGATCTTCTCTATCCGATTTGATTTGATGGTCGATCAATGCCAACAAGAATTCATACGACTTCTGAGGATGTTTGTCTGGTAATCTGTGGTAGGCGTTCAGACCAAACTCCATCTTCTTGCTCCCTTTGATCTTCCTGTAAAGGATATCCCTGAGAGCCAATGTGCTGGGTCTATCCTCGTTCCTCATCTTCAGCAGCAAATCATACCACTTGTTCCTGAACACAACCAAGTTCTTGTCTCCAGGAAGTCGAGGTTGAATAGGTGCTCGATGTGATAGACAAGGTCCGTTCGATCAGATGTTCTGAATGATTGCATGACCAATGCCACCAACTCTCGTCCCTTCACGATCACCCCTTGTTGGTGTCGTAGTTCCGAATGCCGTGTAGCGTCGAGGTACACATCCTTGGCCTGATCTGGTGCTTGTCTCAGCATGTTCTGCATGCCCATGGCTATCTTGATGTCAATCGTAGCAAACCTGTCACCGCCGGAGTCGCTTAGTTGATTGAGGTCTGGGTTCAACCCGAGAGCCTGTTCCAACCATTTTGTCCATGTATCGGTATCCGGATCCGCGCATGCGCTCAGCACATTCATCAGCAATTGCATCTTCCAGTTATCGAGTTGGTGGATCCTTGGCCAATTGGGAATGGATACCCTTTCGGCCTCTTTCCTTGAAATCCTCGGTCTCTCGTTCTTGATCTCACGATCATCCCTCAATCTTTTGCGCCCCCTCCGCGTCCGGCTGTCATCTTCTTCTTCCTCATCTTCCTCATCCTCTTCGTCGTCGTCGTCCTCATCCTCATCATCGGGCGGATCATCTGGGGGTCCTCCTCCACCACCTGCTAGACTCAAATGACGTCGACCAGATCCCTGTTGGTTCCCGCGGGATGAGAATCCGTTGTAATCCAATGGAGGCGTGTTACCGTTGTTTCCTCCTCCATTACCACCACCACCAGTTGCAGTAGCAGATTGTGGGACCAGCCCGACAACCCCTCGCATCTGTGATAGGTGTACATCGATCATTGGATCACCGAAAGACGGAAATAGAATTGAACCCGGCACTAGTGACGAATTAGGGATCGAATTGGATGACGATGACGGGTATGTCCCGGTCATCTTCTTGTCCTCCCTAATCGAATTAATTTGGGGTCCTCCCTCTGCGTGTTTCAGTACTGCTCGTTCACGATGCTCATCTTTACTGCTCGAGGCCTCCTGCGTCTCTAGCTTCTTGGATGTTCTGAGTTCCTCATTGTCGGCATCAAGCTGACGGACGAAGCTCTCTTCCTGCTTGAGCGTCGCCTCCCGATCCTTCAGTTGTTCCTGAAGCTTGCGCATCTCATCGAGGTACTCATCATACATCCCTTTAGCTGTCGACTTCCAGAACTCGGCCTCTTTCGATTTCTCGTCCATTGTGCACCGTTCTTCTTGTGTTGCTTCTTTGACCTGGGCCAACTCCAAGATTGCATCCTGACGGTGACCACCCTCGATAGCAATCATCTGATCCTTCTTCGACACGTCGGATTCATACTGTTTGACGATCTCTTCTTTTTCACGAAGCAAGCGTTCTGCCCTTTTCGACTCTTGCTCCGCAAACGCTGTCACATCATTCAGTCTCGTCATCAGCTGCTCCCTGGTGTCCTCCATCGAGTACACCTCGGGTCGCTTGACAAGTGCATGCTCCAACTGTGATTTCAGGCTCTGAACCATCTCCTCCTCGTTGAACTTCTCAATAGACGTGGATGATTCAATCTCTCTGATCTGTTGCTGATAAACGGAAATCTGTTTTGAAGCTTCACGGTGGATCTGATTTGCATGTAAAGCTGATCCCTGTGCGGCTGCCTTCTCGCTTGCCATGTAGGACCTCGTCACTGCAATTTCCTGTTTCTGCTCCATAATCGTTCCCTCAGCTTGTCTCATTTGTTGCATCATAGCATTCGACTCCATGTCTTTCTTTTCCCCGTATGGATACGCGTCCATTTCCACCTTGCGCATCTGTTGGGCTTCCTCCTCAAACTTGCGCCAGGCTTCTGCCATGTGGTGTTGGTGATGACTCACAAGATGTCCCGATCGCTTGCTGGCAATCTCGCATCGTCTCTCCAGCTCCTGGATCCGGATGGTGCTTCCATAGTCTTCTTGCTGAAGATTCGCCATTGCCGCCGACATCTCATCGAGAGTCTTCTGATACTCCCCGATCTCCATCTCCATCTTGTTCTTTTCTTTGATTGCGGCACGAAACTCGGCACTCGTGGGTGATTTGGATCTCCCACTTTTCGATGTCGACCTCACGCCCTTCTGCGACGCCCGCGGGGTCGCCGGTGAAGATGATGATCTTCTCGGTGGAGAATCTCTTTGCTTCGACTCCTGATGAATGGCGATCTGTTTCCATGATCTAGTGGGTGTGGATATGTCGCTGAAAAGTGCGGATCCACCGCTCCCAGGTTCGTCCTGTGAATCTGCGACCATGTCCATCACCGCAGGAAGAGCCATCAATCCATTGGATCCTTCCGAACTGTCGTTCCCAAAAGTTGCAGTACTTGGGCTCGCTGAAGATGCCATTGTACCGTGTGGGTTATTGTCCTTCTGCAGTTCCTGTACCCGCAATAAACCAGCTGTCTCTCCGTCCAGTGTAGAGCTTGCGTTACGGCTGATAACCTGTCAAGAGATGGCAAGATGACGTCCCGTGGGACGCTGTCCAACCGAACCCTCCAGCTGTGAATACTCAACCACGTAGAAAGGGTATACGGCCAAACCGTTATAGCCAATCCAGTGCAAACTGTTGTAAGGGGGTAAAGACCAATAACCACGATTGTGCACTCAGTATCTGCAGCGCGAATGAAACTGTTTTCCACTCTCTCAGATCGATCACGCGCGAACGTAGTTCATGCAAGACCTTGAGCCCTACTTGTGACTTGAGCCAAAGTGGCGTCCAATGGGATACTTAATCAACAAGAACATGGACCTCAGAACAGCTTCCCAATTTGGGCACGGGGCCAGGAGGGTTTTAACAAGCTTTGTGCGAAAGCGCTATACTGTGCCGTTCTTTGCGACACAGCTTCATTCACTTCGGCAGAAATTGCTCCCCGCATCTGACTAACCTGGGCGCTGAAGAAAGCACGGGACTCTGCAAACTGTTCATGCAGCTCAAGAGTCCGGCGGTTGTTCTCCTCATCCAGGCGATGCACGGTTTCTGCCAAATGAGCGCTATATTCGGCTCTTGCAGCATCCATTGCGACGCGATGTAACGTGTTGGCTTCTTCCCGAAGAGCGTCACCCGTGTCGTTGTGCACATGCATAATGTTCTGGGTGGCTTGGTAGTTTGTCGCGAATGATCGCGAGGGTCAACAGGACCATTGGATGCAACTGCACCTTCACCACCGTCACCAACATCTCCAGATATATTGTATATGGCAGGCATATCTCCGGATGCCATGGCGATCTTTGTACAAGCCTTTACGGCTGATAACCTGTGTTATCAAGCCTAGGCCACCTGAGGGAATACCTAGGCAAGCAGCAAACCGTTGACTACCTTTTCACACTGCTGTCAGTGATCTTGAAGTCTGTAGCGGGCGGAGCATATACATGCACAGGGTTGGAACCTGAATCCACAGAATGGCCCTGGGTCAATCGTTGTTGAAAAACCCGAAAGGGCCAGCACTGGGAAGCAAATGGTGCAACATATTTTGCATAAACATTCCTGACAGAAATGGTCTAGTCTTCTTTGTAGAAGACAGCAACACGGTGTGTCCGTGAAATTATGCATCAGGCAGTGGGCAAATCCCACTTTTGGCCACCCGTCTGCTCTCGCACTTCCCACATGCCGACTTGCCTGCTGAGTGAGGCCGCTGAATCTGCCTGCTTCGTCGAAAAGGGCCAAGTAGTCCGGCACACCCAAGGTCGAGTTGACGCATTTGATGGTTCCCTGATGCGCAAAAACACAGAAACACACGGTCAAGCTTTTTGCAGCCAACACAAATGATGTTGTGGCTCACAAATACTAGCAAACTAGTTTCATGACACACACACACACACACATGACCGATGTCTCGGAAAACACGGGGCCCGTTGCGAAGGATAATATCTCACATTGTGGTTTCTGTATCACTCTGAACTTTCGAACAGCCGAAGCTCAGCTTTGGCAACTTGCAGCCTCTTTGTTTTTTACGCGAAGTGATTTGCATTTTGTGTTTGATTGAAGTGGCACTAACATCGAGTCACATAGTTGCAGCTATTAGGCCAGAGCACTGTGCAAAATGAAAGCGTTTGTGTGTACTACAAGCCAACCCATTTCACAACAGTGTGCTTGGAGGTCGGAAAAGAGGGAAGAAGGGCTTGTTAGACAGCATAGTGTGATCATATGGAGTCAGGCACTGCTGCGGTTTGCAAGTATACAGCTCGCGACCTTGCATCCAGATATATCCAGATTCATCTCGTTCCCCCTCGTGGACGCGGTACCAGGTGCACTCCCAAGCTCTACAATACATTGTATTGCAATGCTGGGACCATCAGTTGCCTCGGTGTAGTATTCGATGATCGTATTCATGGCCACGGACGCCTACCAGGTGCAAAGCTTCAATGTGCCTCGTGCCAACAACCCAAAGAAATTAGCGTTGCGAAGGGGTCAAACATGAACAGTCCAAGCGTTCGGGATTCCCTGGACTCCCTGGACTCCCTGCAAATGACACGCAGGCGTCACCAAGTCGGCACCTGAGGCGTTCCGACAATGAATTGGTGCCTGCCGCTTCGCCCGTTTGCTCGCGCAAAGGGCCTTGCGTGCTGTTGGCGACAGTGTTACTTGGCCAAAGCTGCTGTTTGGCAAGCGGGCTTGTTGTGACGAAAGCGTGTTGATCACAAGACATGCTCCTCCTCAGGGCGTGAAATTGGATCTTTCCAGACAACAGACAAACAAGAGATGTCGGCAGAACAGAGGTAATTAGATTGCATCAGTAGCACTGCCTCACACACACACACAGCTTCTTAACTATCTCCATTGCTACACGCGCTGAACGTGCGAAACGCGTGCAAGAATACGGTCCCTCTGTTCATTGCTATTGCCGTCCTGTGGCAAAGAGACATAAACCAACGAGGGTCTAACCAAAGGCCCCGCCCATTGCGAGATTCCGCATATGCACTGTGCCTGAAAGACACGTCTAAGAAAGCAGGCCTGTAATATCGGCAGTCTGAGCCGGAGGCGTTAAAGTCATTCTTGTATAATCAAAGACACACAAAATCATTGACATCAAATCTGCCATTGTGAAATGAATGTTCGCACAGTAAGTCGTCTTTACTCCCTCAATTCGTCTTCTCGGGCTTTGCTTCTATATCCTTGCAACTCGTCGTCTTTGCAATATTTTGCAGTTCGATGCGTTCAGCAACCCCGGAACGGGTTCAAATCTCATGAGCAGCATGCTGCGTGCGTTCCAAACAAAACACATCAGAACCGTGGTCGGTCCGGGTTCTCGATGCCAGTGCACTCACGCCTCGTCAACAGCATTCCTCATCTCCACCAAAGCCCCCGTTTGCGCGGCAGACATCGCCGCGACAAAGTTCTGATTGACAAACCGCATCTGCCTGGACAACAGGCCGGCTCAGTGAACACGTTAGAGGAATTCTACAGTTCTGGCACAGGAACGTTGTCAAAAAGCCGCACACACACACACACCACACACACACACCACACCACACCAACACACCAACACACACCAACACACACCAACACACACCAACACACACCAACACACACCAACACACACCCAAACACACCAACACACACCAACACACACCAACACACACCAACACACGCCAACACACACCAACACACCAACACACAGCAACACACACGCACACACCAACACACACCAACACACACACACACAGAGACACACACAGAGACACACACAGAGACACACACAGAGACACACACAGAGACACACACACACAGAGACACACACAGAGACACGCACACAGACACACACAGAGACACACACACACATAGACACACACAGAGACACGCACACAGACGCACACACAGACACACACACACACAGACACACACACAGACACACACACACAGACGCACACACACAGACACACACACACACAGACACACACACACACAGACACACACACACACAGACACACACACACAGACACACACACACATAGACACACACACACACAGACACACACACACACAGACACACACACAGACACACACACAGACACACACAGACACACACAGACACACACAGACACACACACACAGACACACACACACACACACAGACACAGACACACAGACACAGACACACAGACACAGACACACAGACACACACACACAGACAGACACACACACACACAGACAGACACAGACACAGACACACAGACACAGACACACAGACACAGACACACAGACACAGACACACAGACACACACACACACACACACACCCACCCACCCACCCACCCACCCACGCACGCACGCACGCACACGTGCGCGTGCGCGTGCGCGCACGCACGCGCACGCGCACGCGCACGCGCGCACGCGCGCACGCACGCACGCACGCACGCCGCCCAGGCCGTGCAATACATCGATTTGGCATACCGATGTTATTACGACGTGGCTCCTTTCAATGTTGAACCAAGCTGTGCCCAAGCTGTTGCTGCAGCGCAAGCCACGGTCATGTGGCTGCTCGTGCATCTCAGGACAAAATCTGCCTACAAAAACACATGCGGGGCCAAGCACCGGTTCGGCGTTCTGTTCCTGCCGCGACGTTGTCTGCAACGTGAAACATCGGCTCCCCGCGGGGAAGCCCTTGGGTGTACATTTTTTAGCTGGGGGATTTATGTCCACCGTGTTTGATGGCTTCCCCATTAAATTTCATTGCCAGGCGTTTCCAGCCAAGCCACTTGATGTAGCACAAGTTTGAGATCTTTAGAATCTCAGGAGTGGTGCTGGTTGCAGGTTCTCCCTCCAAGAGGTGCCAGTGTGTCGCAAGGAAAGCATCTCCTCGGCTGCGACTGCTCTCCCTATCAAAATGAGTTGAGACTCCCCTGGCTGCCTCCAATCTTTCGCTTTCCCTCTTCCTCTTACTCTGCGCACGCGAACCCCCTTTGACACTGCAGGCGTCTGTTGTAAACCCGGTGCCCAGATTGCACGAAAGTGCAAGCATCACACGTGCAAAACCCCGGCGCAAACCCTTGCTCTCACAGCTTCTAAGCCAACTGGTTTGCTACGTTTGCGGTGGGAAATCATCCGCTCTAGAGTCCAGTGTTGATGAACGATGAAGACTGCAAATAACAGTCCACGCATCTTCTTGCATCATCTTTCATCAAGGCGCTGGTGGTGTTCAGCTGCAGCGTGTTTTCTGTCACCTGGCTCGACAACAATGCAAACCTTGCGTTCTCCGTCGGGGAATGCTCCAAATGGTGGTGCAAAGGTGCAACCAATGAAGATACTATCACAAAGCTCACGCTTTTTCAACAAATCTTGAAGTCCCAAACTTGGCCGACTTGCCAAAATTTCTCAGAGAATGTGGATGCCCTCTGAGGATTGCGGTTTTTTGGTTGCCGTGCCACTTGTTTGGTTACCGAAATAGAGGTCAACCTCAAAACCTCCAGAGATTCTGGAACTCCTCGCAGAACTTGATCCCAACCTTGATTTGGGGCACTCTGATAGAATGTACTGCCGAAATGCACTCAAACATATTGTGCAACATCATTGAGTATATCTTGATCTTCTTGTTGCTGAGCTCCACAGAAAACTACTGTTGATCTGAGGTTTGCAGCGCTTTTGTGTGCACCTATGTTGAGATTCACCCTTCCCTGCTGCGGCACAGTTCTCTGCCGTTTTGCTCAAATGCAATTGGAAGTTCCAGTTCGTACTATACAATATGATCAAGTGTTGCTGGAGCGTCGCTAGAGTCACACATGTTCAAAATCAAGCTGGCTGGGCTTTCTTCAAATGTAGTACAATTGCATGTTGTGAATTATTCTTTGTTTGTTTGGCCGTGTTTGACCTTCATGAGCTTGAGCCGTCACGTTCTTTGTGTGGCACCATTTGGGCGTAAAACAATTCAAGATGAGCACCACGTTGCAAAAACAAATCTCGATGCACTTTTGGAAACACGTGCCGGTCCACCAGCACAGCACCCATGATTGAACGCACGCAAGCACCAGTGCAAGACGACACCCATGGAATAACCAAGGGTATTGGGGATGTGGAAACCAACAAAACAACAGCTGCCAAACGTCAAAAAAAAGAACAAAAACTACAAAACAACAGAAAACATATCGCACACACGTGAAAAACACACATCCTGAAAACACTGGTCTTCCATTGAAATACTCAGGCTTAGGATGCGCGTCCGATTTAAGTTTACATCGATTCCAGGGTTTGAGGGCAATGCCTTAAGGTTCAGGGCTATGTTCCAGGTCAAACGAACACGTTCCGGTTGCAGATGTTTACGGGTTGGCAGTTTTGAATGACAGGGCTGCTTGCTACGGAAACGGCCACTGCGCTTTCAGCATTTACCCCTTTGCAAACGATGGGCATGGGCCCTGGGACTCTGGGGGGAAATCATCAGCACAAGCAGCTGCCAAGCCAACCCGCACGGCCTTCTCGCCAAAAGCCACCAAGTTGGCCAGTCCAACCAACTCCGCCAACCGAGAATTCCTTGGCGCGTCGAAAGCTTTTCCGCCTGCTTTTCTGCCTGCGCGTCAATTTCGGCAACAGAACCCAGGAGCCCAAAGGGCATTGCCACCAGAACGTCACCAACACAACAATTTGAATTTGCATTTGACACGAACACGGGAAGCATTTCCATTTGCTCCGTGGGCTGATGCACCGCCAAGTTGCTGAAACGTCGCCTGTTTGATTTGATAAATGGGTACATCGATTTGGGCTGCAAGCGCGTTTGCGAGGAACAGCTCGATCACTGACTCGGCTTCGCCTTGGCAAGCGGAACTCACCCTGGCAAAATCGTAGTAGCCGTTGTTTTCCTTCCGGAATTTGTGGAGCCCGCCATGGCTTCCGAGAAAACCAAACACGAAACAACAAGACTTAAACCCTCCGTGTCCTTTCAACCTTCCATGCGTGAGCAACAAGTCACTTGCGCCAGGGGAGGGAGGGGAAGGACTTTTTGCGTAATTCATGGAATATTTTAATATCAGTAGAGCCGGCTAAGCCGGCGGGCGGAAGCTTCAAAAACTCCGCCGACCCATTGCAAAGGGCGAGGCGCACGGGAGGGGCGGTGGTCATAATTCTTCTTGGATCCTCATCATCATCATTATCGGCTTCACATAAAAATTCGCGAGAAGTCTATATCCAGCGCGGCTTGCAATCGTCACCGTCATCATCATAGGCAAGAATAAGACGTCTATATGCGGCGCGGCTTGCAACGCATAGGGCACTTAAGTATGCTTATAGGCCGTATCAAATTTAAAAATTCTGATGCGCAGGATTTCTATATCCGGCGCGGCTTGCAATTTTCATCATCATCATCATAAACCTAGAACTTTGCGAGAGCTGTGCAAGAAGTTTATTTCCAGCACGGCTTGCAATGCGTAGGACCCTTAAGTATGCTTATGGGCCATGTCAAGCTGACATCAGTGATGAAGTTGACATCATTGACGTGAGGCGCCGCTGGGAACGTAGCCGGTACTACGATGATATTGATTTATGACCACATGGGTGATGACGATTGCAGTCGTCATCATCATGCGAGTCGTCATCATTCCCTGGTATATATACATGTCAGATGTGACTAGCATTGATGAATAACAATGGTTTTCATCACTACTGCTGCAGCCTACATTGGTTTATGTTTGTGTGAACACTACAGCGCTTTCACTTGTAGTAAAAGTAACGACCAATTTTAACGAGACAGAGAGAGAGAGAGAGAGAGAGAGAGAGAGAGAGAGAGAGAGAGAGAGAGAGAGAGAGACAGAGAGACTAGGTCCTCCAGTACAGAACGCACAAGGGAGAGAAGGGAGAGATGAAGAAGGAGAAAAGGGAGAGGACGATGTCGGCGGAGTGAGCCGGAGGCTCTAAAGTTCTGACAAGCTCAGGCAGGCTCAGCCTTTGTGTCATTGGTCTTTGCTTTCTTGAATAGTTTACGCCGCTCCAGGCAATCATCGCAAATCCATTTGTCGACAGAACGTCAAGCCCGTGCTCCAGTTCCCACTTGTCTTGTAGAACTCGGAAGCCAACTTCTTCCAGCATCCTTTTATCCTTTGCGCTGTCACTTTGTCGTGCGCTTTGCAGGACCGAGCTGCGCAGCTTCTGGCATCTTGCGCACATGTCTTGGCCGCAGCAACGTCTTTGTCATCTTTGGCCTTGGCCTCTTTGTCTGCCTTGATGATGCGCCTCTCCCAAAGCATTCGGTCCGTGTGAGACATCTTCTTCCATTCTCCCGGTGATATGTTCGTTGACCTGACGCCCTCCTCCCGACTTCGTACGGCTTTTCTTGCGCATTGAGTCTTACTCTTCTTTTGTCGTCCACATGTATGACTCCGCCACCAGGCCTGCCCGTTTTGGAAGTCTGAACGGCTCGATTTTGAAAAAACAACGGTACCAAACGTTGGTAGCAATCGGAACTTCTTCGCCGCGCTTGACGACGAATCGATGATGACACACTCGAGCACTTCAGCGGTCTCACTGTTTACCACAGTGCGCCCGACAACAGCGTTCCATTTAGGTCCTCCCTCCGCATTTCTTGTCTGAAACAGAGTTGCTCGCCGACTCCATCGGTGATACCCGGTCTCTAGCCCAGGAGGCATTGCGATTTCTCCCTTTGCCCCCTTGCGCATGTGTACTGCTCTCAGGATCAGGAGGCTTCTTCTTGAGTTGGGAAGGAGTTGTCGGATCTTTGGGCCAGCCGACGTGGTGTTGTCTATGCCCAACCGTGTCATCCATTCCCAATCGTGTGGATTTCCTTCGATCTGTCCCTGGTCTTTCCCGCGCTAGGAGCACCCCGGCTCAGGTTGTCATCACCTCCGCCTCCATCGTCGTCACCGTTTCTGGAAATGTCTTGTAGCGCCTCACGGATTTCCTTTTCCCAAGATGTGTCAATCATACCTGCAACATCCCTCAAGACTTCCGCCCACCTTTACATAGGCAATTGAGTGAAACGCTAATGGCGAAACCATCGCCGCTTTGTCTACTATGTGAGGTTTTCTCAAGCTCCCTGGCACATGGTCAATTCCGCATCGAGGAATTGTCAAATTCCCGCACGAGCATCTTGCCACTCCATCGCGCGCCACTCTCGAGCTCGCACCCAGCGAATAGCGCAGGTCTGAAGTGAACGTATGCTCCAGCGGGGTTTCTTATGCCTCGGAGTGATCCCTACGCGTATTGAACACGCGCTTTCTCCGTCAACGATCTTGGCATTCAGCAAATGGCATGTAGAAAGAAGAGCAAATAACCAGTAAGTTGGAGGGAGCTTTGCAGCGAGCAAACAAGTGCGCACCTGATCGATCACGCAGAGATTCTCCTCTCTGCCAAAGAATTGTTCTTGGGCCTTCCTGGTAGCGAACGGTCGTGCACCATTGATTCCCGGCTGCTGACACGCGTTCACAAACTGAGGCGCGTGATCTCCATCAGCAACCCGAATTTTCCTTCTACCCGTGAACTCCTTCAGGCAGCTGATCACTTCCTCCGTGGAACCGTCAGATGTGGGGTGGGCCGGCGCGCGCGTCTCGGACAACAAACACGTTACCCACTCTCTCAATCTCAGGAAATCGACAGAAGATCTGCCAGCGCTTGCTCATGGTTCTGCCCTCACACATGCGTCACCTTTTTCGGCTTCAATACCTATCTCCAGTTCTTCTTCATCGCTTCCGCCTTTGTCAGCTTGATCCATTCTGGAGCCAACTAGCTTCCCTGCTGTTGTCTTTCACACGCAGACGTATTACTCTGCTGCTATCTTCAAAGATGACAGGCTCTTCCTCAGGTGCCCAAAGAAACAAATACCCTTGCTCGGCGCATCTCTGATGGAGAGACGTAGGGCGATTTGGTGTCTTGCGCTTAATGACCAAGTCCGCTTTTGCATTGGTCTTGGTTAAACTGTTGGCCGTCATGAAGGTCATGGCCTCCGCGCTCAACCTGCGACTCAGCCCTAGCTTGTGGACGGCCTTCCTCCCTATCAAGTCGCGGGCTGTCCTTCTTTCACGACCGTGGGAATCGCATGCTGGGTTTCTCTCATTCATTCGAAATCCTGGATCACGGGCCATCTCTCTTCTTGCACCTCCATCTCTATTGTGTCCTTGTCGGAGATCGGGATTGCTCTCTTGGTGCTGATCTTCTTTGGCTTCTTCGGTGCTGACGCCCGTCTTTCCTTGGCTATCGCTGTAGTATCTCTCAGGAAATTCCTGATTGTCCATATCTTCTAAAAATACTAGAGGACGATTGGCCCGAAAGCATTTTTCCCCAGGCGCTCATCCAGCCGCGGAGGCACAATTTTACATCGCTGCGGCAAGCGTGTCTGCACGCGGCGATGCTCAATGTGCATGGTCACATGAGAGCTCCATCTCATCGTCCTAGGAGAGGAAACATGGCAGTGCTCGATCCCACATATTTACATCCGTTAAGACAAGAAGAGTAAAGCTCGTAAAGCTCGAAACGAATTACAAGCAAAAGGAAAAGCAATCAATAGCAAAGCCTACACAACGGCCACAGTTTCTGCAAAGCACGCTCGCGCAACTTAGCTCTGTGAAAGTTGGCTCTACGCAAGCTACTTTTCGCGAGTGGCTCTGCGCAACTGGGTCTGTCTGCTCGGCGCAATGTGCTTTGCACGAACTGCGCCGCGCGATTTCTCACGAAAGTGGTCTGCGCAAGCTGCATTGTTCCAGGCTGCTGCGCGCAAGTTGCTCTCTGCAAGCTGCTGCACGCAAGTGCTCTGTGCAAGTTGCTCTGCGCAAGTGCTCTGAGCAAGTTGCTCTGCGCAAGTGCTCTACGCCAGTTGCTCCGCGCAAGCGCTTTGCGCATGTGCTCTGTGCAAGTTGGTCTGTGCAAGTTGTAAGCGCTCTGTGCAAGTTGCTCTGCGCAAGTTGCTCTGCGCAAGTGACTCTGCGCAAGTTGCTCTGCGCAAGTGCTGCCGGAGCTGTGGGAATGTACTTCGCGTACTATTCTTGTACTTAAAAGTTGCGATTTTCCAGCCGGAGCTGCGGGAGTGCTCCGCGTACTACGTTTATACTTAAAAGTTGCGATTTTCCAGCCGGAGCTGCGGGAGCACGCTCCGCGTACTACGTCTGTACTTAAAAGTTGCGATTTTCCAGCAGCAACAAAATCGCACGGCGCCACAGCGAGAGCGCTTGGACACGCACGATCTCCGCAGAGGGTTCGCCGAGACTAAGAAGAATTCGCGCGGCGCCACCACAAGAGCGCTTCGACACGCACGATCTCCGCAGTGGGTTCATCCGGGAATGTCAAAAACGCAAAAACCTCGAGTTTTTGCACCTCGACCACGCCGATCTCCGCAGAGGGTCGCGCGGGCATATCAAAAAACGTAAAACACCTCGAGTTTTTGCACCTCGACCACGCCGATCCCCGCAGAGGGTCGCGCGGGCATATCAAAAAACGTAAAAAACCTCGAGTTTTTGCACCTCGGCCACGCCGATCCCCGCAGAGGGTTCATCCGGGCACCGCAAAAACGCAAAAAACCTTGAGTTTTTGCACCTCGACCACGCCGATCCCCGCAGAGGGTCGCATTCCCGATCGTCGGCAACATCCCCACCCCCCGCCAAGAAAGAGATTGTCAATACCGAGCTCTTTCTCTTTCTTTCCCGCGCGTTAAGACTAACCTGGCTTACACAGCTGCTAACGCCGAGCCTCTACACCTAGCTTGGCTTAGCTCTATGCACCTAGCTCTATGCGCTTGGCTCTATGTACCTGGCTCGATGCACTTCGCTCTTTGCGCTTGGCTCTGTGCGCTTAGCTCTGTGCACTTGGCTCCTTGCACCTCGCTCTTTGCACTTCGCTCTGAGCACTTGGCTCTATGCGCTTGGCTCTTTGCACTTGGCTCTGCGCAAGTAACTCTGCGCTGGTGACTCCATGCTGGTGGCTCTGCGCAAGTATCTCCACGCTGGTGACTCTGTGCAAGTATCTCCACGCTGGCATCTCCATGCTGGTGACTCTGTGCTGCTGGTAACTCTGTGCAAGCTACTCTGCGCTAGTAACTCTGCGCGAGTATCTCCATGCTGGTATCTCCATGCTGGTGACTCTGTGCAAGCTACTCTGCGCAAGTTGACCAAGAGCTCCTGATATCTCCATGCTGGTGACTCTGTGCAAGCTACTCTGCGCAAGTTGACCAAGAGCTCCGCACGGAAGAACCCTTCGCAATGCTTTCGGGAATTTTTATTTAATCCGACAGTGACCCCTTTACCCCTCATCCCCTTCTTGGCTTTGTGGGAGTCCCTTGTTCTGGGTCGTAGCGGCACATTCCACCTCTGCATCGCTGTCAGTGTTGGAAGAATCGTTATAACTAGGAATTCCATTCTGCCTCGCTCTCACAGTCCCCCACACTGGCTGGTTCCCATCACCGGCGTCGCAGTCTCGGCAGCATCCAACTCCGCCCCTTTGCCTGTGGTTTTCTCTCTGATGGCGCAGCGCTCTTGGGGAGTTTGAACTTGCATTCCTTCCCCTTTTTGCAGGCCCTCTGACGCTGCCTCTTGGTAGTTGCCCACACTTCTAGTTCCATTCCTCCGTATAATCTGATCTAGGAAATTGAGACGGGCTGCCCTTTTTTTGAAGCCGGAAATCATGCTCTTGGCGTAGAGGGGCCCTTCGGGTTGGGCGCGCCCGTGCTAGCTGGTCCCATCTTGCTGTCCTTCAAAGATCTCTCCTTGTTCTCCCAGTTCTTCTCCTCCTTATTCGCCTTGACTTATCGAGCAATCATATTGAGGAGGCTCTTATGCGTTCTGCTGGGGTCATCTCGATCCTTGTGTTCCTACAACTTCGGCCCAGTTCCAACTCCTTTGGCTTTTTTCCTTGCGCTTTCGGCACAGGTGTCCCTCAGTTCTTGTTGCCAGGATAGGTTTGTTTTCGCGCTGTTCGACTCCTAGCTCTGCCTCCCCTTGATCGCCCTGCCAGTCTTGATCAGCTTCGTAATCAATTGCTGCATCTCTATAGATAGTTCGGTGGCCGCGTCTCCAGCAGATTTAATCATCTTCCCTAAGCTGGTCGCAAGCTTGCTGTCAATCCCAGCGAAACTCGATCCGAGTTGCTTGGATAACCACGTCGACCATGCTTCTGGGAGATAGAGGTGATCCGCTTTGCATAGTCCCTCCAAACTTGGGGCTGCCTTCTTGATGCTCCTTCAGAAGCTCGTCGTACTGTTCGTTCACATCCTCCAACTTGGCCCGCAATTCATTCGCTCCTGAGACGCATGTGTCCTGAAGTTCTTCATTTCTCCCCTCTTTGATCTGAATGATTGCATCCGCTTTCTTGGCACTCCTGAAGGCTTCCCTTGCTCCATCTTCCATCTTTCTCCCTTCTTCCTGCAACTGGCTTCAACGACTCCGTGTTCCTCTTGCGAAGTTGGTCATTGTGCTTTCTCATCGAAGAAAACTGATGTTGAAGAGAGCTAAGTTGATTTTGGGACGTGCTCTCCACCAGCTCAGATTTCTCTGCAGCATCTCAGCCGGCCATTTCTAGCACCACTGGATTGCCATCTGCGCTCTTTCAAGGATGACGCCTCCTTGAGCTTCAGTTGTCGCTTGGTCCCTTCGTTCTCGGATCTGGCCCGGTTCTCGTTGTTCAGATTTCCTCACAAACTTCTCTGTTCACGGCCAGCTTCGCAGCGTCACGTGCAACCAATCCTCTCTGGATCTCGAATCACATATTTCTTCCACCTGCGAACTAGGGCCCGCACGGTCGATGAGAGGTCACTGGAACTCATGTCTTCCGAGACCGTGTGTTTGCCGTGGTTGCAACGGATTTCTTGCGAATGATTGAGGGCATGGTCCGTGGATATGGTGGTAGACCCAACTGGCGTTGGTCAAACTTGATCATCTTGTGTCGGAGACTGTTTGGTCAGCGGATGTAGGCCCTCGTGATCAGAAAGAGGAGCATCTCATCGCGTTTGGGCTTGAGCTTGTGTTTGTGCACCCTTAACAGAAACTGCGCGTTGATCTCATCAGGTCGTTGTCTTTCTGAGCAACTCCACTTCTCCAACAAGGCGTCCACCTCCATGCTTACCTGGGGTTCGAGCTCCTTCGTGGCATTGATTGCCTGATCGCTAAGTCGAGGCCTCGCGGCTCTCGGCTTTTTGTGCCTCTGCGCTTCTTCACTTATGGGGAATGCCCGAACTTCCTTCAATCTCAGACATTTGTTCTTTTCGCTCTACTTCTTGGGTTTGGGGGGGGGGGGGGTGGGGGGGGTTGTTGCGTGTTTTCAAACATGTTGACTTTGCGTCAGCCAACGCAGACACACGTGCAGACAAGCACACAGCACGCGCGCGTGCCGGAAACTCTGCGCACGCACCATCCTTGCGCACACTGTCCATGCGCAGGCCGCTTTTCTTGCGCAAACAGACTGACCACACATAGTCACATAGACGGACATACACGTGTGGGCAATGACATTTGAGCTGACTGTGTCACTTGGGCATCATGTCCGCAGGTCTGTTGTGTGCGCAGCTTGCCTTGTCAGAGCCACCAGAACCCAACGGCTGCTATGGTCTTGCATTGGCGCTCAGCCCGCCTGAGCTCAGCTGTTCTTACGTCAGCTTGCGTTGGCTTGAGTCTATATAATAGACATGCTCGACAGAGGAAGAAAGAAGCTCAAACAGGCGTATAGTCTTCAACTCGCGCAGACAGAAGAGCCGCGCAATCAGGCAAGAACGGCAGCTGAAAAAATAACTGCGCGGGAAGCGTGGCAGCAAGTGTGCTGCGCTCCATTGGGAAAGGCAGAAAATAAGACAAAGTGCTGCAAAACACAGCACGTGAGACCATGCCTCAATTTGCCACTCTTGAAACTGCAGCGGTAATTGCCATAGCCTTCACTATGGCTGATGCAACGATGGTGTTGCGGGGCCCCACGGTCGCTAACGGCGCCGTGACCTTCTTTTCTCACAATCGCAAGGTCATATTCATCCATGAGCCACTTGCGCCTTGTGTGTGTGATTCATTCTCTCCAAGCCGATAATTTTCTGAATACAACCTGCCTCGTCGTAGCGCTTGGGTCGTAGACTCCATGGTAGCGCATTCACTCCGCAAAGACCGAACGTCGTCAGATTGTTCTGCTGCTTTATTCATGCGCTGCTCCGTCTTTGCTTGGCGCTTTCGCAGTTCTTCTTCGAGTTGCTCATCCGCGTTTTCAGGACCCTCGCCTGTGAGTCCCTCGAGGATTTACGGGCGCGCGCCTGCCGCCATCGTCGTCTGAAGGTGATCGGCTGCGACCCCTGCAATTCGGATGTCATGGACATGGAGATGCCGTTGCGATCAGTGTTGGAGCTCGGGCATCAAACCAGCCATCTGAAACTGACGTGGGCCAGACTATGATTGCGAGACGCCCGCTCACCTGGCTTGGGTCATCCCGCTGTCTTCTCCTTGGGCAAGTGTAGCAGGCGGGTTGCAAGGGGGACTTGAAGGCCTGGGCCCTGATGTGCTGCGGCGAATGTAATTGAAGAACTTCCGACGTAATCTCGAACAAATACTTGGTCCTATGTTTTGGGACGAGGGGAGATCCCACTCGTCCGTATTTGACCTTTGTCTCACGAGCTGGGAGACCCAACCTGGGAAACCAAGGGTGTGTTGTTGAAATACCCATGGTTGGTTGTACCTCCTCCACTCCCCGCCCGCAATGCCCCAATACAAGCAATGGAGCCGCATATGGCGAGCGGGCTTGATTGTTTTCTACTTGGCGCCGATCACCGTGTTATCACGATTAGCGGTCTTGAGCTTGCGCCACGTTGCCATGTTTATGTGGCAACGCTCTACGCACTATCTCTCTCTGTGTATTTATCTATCTATGTATCTTTCTACCTATCTATTTTAGATTAGTGTCCGGGTCATTGGGGTTCCTTCTAAAACCTTCTTTTGTTGAAGATACTATTTCACACAAGCACGCGCGCGAATCCAAGCTGCTTTTGAACGAGGTCAGCAGGCGCAGCACCAGTCGAACCTGGCAAAGCGCATGGGTAAAAGCTTCACGGCTCCGACTGCCTGAGCTGTTTATCACGGCTCGTGGCGCCAAACAGCAACATCTGCTTGAACAGCGCACGATACGCGGGGCGGTCGAAAAGTCGCGCTTGCCGACTTTCGGGTTGAAGTCGAGCCCTCGTTTGACAGTTGGGTGGGGATGTGGGGGCAAGCCTCTTGAACTGAAGAAGGTCGAGACAAGTCGCGTGGTTTGAGCTCCACGCCCGTGGTGCAACTGCGAAGTAGCGCTACAGGGTGCGTTTAGACCGGCCCTTCAACACATCTGCTTTTCTGTCCAAACAGAAATTACCCAGCATCTCAGAGCGCAACCGCGTAATCTACCTCGTGGAGACCCTTACCAATTGCAAAAAAAGGGTGTTGCGTTATCGTCACCAGCGGAGCCATTTCTTGGGGTAAAAGGAATGCCTTGAGCGCTGGCTGGTTCGGGCCTCACCCTCCTTGCCGCGAAGCAAGCAGGCTTTCAGGTTTGGCCCCGGGCCCCAGCCTGCACCACAGTGGTGGCGCCTAGGCGAACGGCCAGCTCCAGGTTTGGCTCGAGCTCCTGCAGCTTTGGACACAGTCAACGAACCATATTGAACTTTGGAACTCTCGCCCGAAGGCCTGCCCCGAATTTGCGCGCCTTGCCTCACACTGGCTGGCAGCGCCGCGGAACACAATGCAGTCTGGCAGCGGTTCGTAAAAAAAGGAACTACCAAAAAGCCTGAAGTAGGAAGTAAGATGATTTGCGGCGAAGCCCAGGGCAGTAAATCAAAGCAACCTGGTGTCAATACACACAACAAACCAAATATCCCCTAACACTAAATCATGACGAACACTCAAGGGCCAAGATCTGGGCTTGGGCTTGAGCCCAAACATAAAGATCCGCTTCAACTCATCGGTGGTGTGTAGTTTCTGCGATCAATTGTTTGACGCGACCGTCCGAAACTTGTTGTTGAGCTGAAAAGTTTCTAGCAGCAGTAAGGAAACGCGTGTCAAACAACACGGCAGTCGACTGCAGCGTTCTCAACTGCCCCTCAGCGTCCTCCCAAGTGGATTTCCACCTCAGCAGCCCTGAGCTGCGGGTGATCCAAGAAGCGTCATTGTCTCAAACACATGCGCCAAGGTTTTACACAAGCAAGAAGGGGCCTGCAACCACACCTGCTTCCGTTGTGCTCTGTTCCGCACATGCAAGTTCTCTTGGGTCGGCGCAACACGCGTAAACGCTTTTGGGCTCAAGGCTCAAGATTCATCATTCTTACAACTCTCATCAAGACGAACGCTTCGACGCGCTTGCTAGCATTTCTGGACTCAAGATCCAAAGTATTCAGGGCTCTCTTTTTGAACCCTCAACCCAGCAAAGCTCCACATAGAACGCTATTAAAGCCCTTTGTCACAAGGCGATCGCTCCCAGGGGTTTACCGTCTGCTGCCCCCGCTGCGCTCACCTTTTGTCCCGTTGTTCAGCATTGCAGAAAATTTGCTTCATATTGCGCGCCAAGCGCGCGTCAACACGCTTCGCACGCACCGCTTGCGCCCACGCGTGCGCGCGCGCTCGCACTCACGCACTCACGCAGTCTCGCAATCACGCGGCCGCTAACTCACGCACGCTGTCACTCGCTTACTTGCTCGCTTTTCGTTTTTCTCTCGCTCTCTCCCCCTCACTCAGCAGCGCAGCGGAACAGAGCTTTCTATGTGTCGCGCTCGAATTCTGAGAGGCAGGCGCAATACTTCAGACTGCGGAGCTCAGAGCGGTCGGCTACCGTGGGCGGGTGACTTGGCGGGCGTGGCAGGCGCAACACTTTCACAAGGCAATGCTTGGTTTTGTCCCAGGCACCGTAGTTTTGACTCGTTGGATCAGAGCATGTGATGCTCAGATTTCGTGACAGGCGCAGCGCGTTAACGGCAGCGGTCTAGTATGTGCTTTGGGAAGATAGTGCTAGACTCCGTGGCAAGCAAGGTACTTTCTATATGTAGCCCGCAGATTTCCTGGTTTGACTGCCTTGGCTGCTTACTAGTTTTGGAAGAAAAGGCTTCAACGCCACGAAAGCCGTGCGGCAGCTTTTCCGTGCAAGTCCGGGAGGGCGATTCTGGAAAGAACCGCCGCAACTTCATTGGTGGCCTGCTGGACCAGCTTGTGGCCCCATCTCCGTAGCGAGCCGGATTGTACCGCTTGCTGCCACGAAATCTCTGCGGCGCGCCCGCAGCGATGCGCTGCCGAATCCTGACAAGAGTCTCACCACGCTGCGCACCGCCTTGTCGAGACGGAGCCAAACACGTGCAAAGGCAGCCTCCATTGCGCCGACTGTGTCACTCGCGCTCCCTCTTTCACTCTCGTCCACTCGCTCGCTCGCTCGCCCACTCACTCACTCACTCACTCACTCACTCACTCGCTCACCCAACGGGTGACTCACCCACCCAATCACTCACGCATCACACTCATTCACCCACCCAACCACTCGCTTGCATCCACTGTTTCACTTTCTCGACTTGATGCAAAGCCCCTTGATGCAAAGCCTCCCTGGTCCACCAAGTCAAGGTGGCCAGGGAGGGATCTCTTCAGCCCCACCGCATCCCTCTTCAGAAATCTCTTTCAGGGATGGGCGGGTGGGTAAAAATGATGACCCGGTACGCTTTAAGATGAGGTTCAACTACTCTTGGCTGATGCCTGCCTTCCTGCCAGTCTCTTTCACCAATGACTGGAGGAGCTCTTCATAGCTAAGATGCTGGATGCGCAGTCGTGCAGTCGTGCATAGTGCTCAAGAACGAAGTCAACCGTGGGTAGGTGCGTGCCCCGCTGGCATAACCATACAGAAGGGATCGGGCTCCAAAACAACAGCTAGGTTGAAACATGGCGGTTTTCTCGTGGACCCTACCGTTCCTGAAAACGTTTGATGTCTTCTATCGCGCCACATTGGTCGGCGAGCTGTTTCCCTGGCCGCATATCGTTGTGTAGATCACCTTAGGCCTGCAACTTGACACCATATTTGCATCCCAAAAGCTGGAGTTGCCGGTTGATGCGCAATGATTTCAAAGACGCCTGGACGAAGCAGGTCTTGGTCAATGTACAATAACAAGGACCAAACGGATACAAAAACGAAACATGTTGGGCGAGCTGTGAATGCGTCTATATTGGTGCACGCAATGTGGTCCCTACAAGTAGCTGTTGCGCAAAAATGAACATGACAGTTGCATGGCTGGCCTGCTTGCAGAAACAATCTGAGATATCGGTGGCCAAAACCACATCCAAAGAAAACCGTTGCATTGCCAGATTTTGGCTGTACATGCCGATGTTACAGACTGGACGTCTTGTGGCAAGCAGCTGGCTTGGCTCCAAAACGTACACATCAAGCTGCACCATCTGTACTAGGACAAGGCTGAATGTTGGTTTGACCTTGACGAGATTGAGCCTCGACAGAATCTACAGTACCAAATGAAACCCTGTGCCCACTGCTAACCGATTCAACCAACTGAAGTAATGCTGTGTCATAGCCACAATCAACATTAACAAAGGCAATGCCGCGGAGGTGCAAACATGGAATGGCTTGAACATTCTCCACTGTATTGACACGATTCTCCACGCTCCGCACGTCGGCTAATTGCACAACAGTGCCAGCCGAGCATCCATCGAGCGCAGTTTGCGACGGGGGAGCTGGTAAGTTCCTTGCCTTGTAGCCCTGCGCGGATGGCTACTGGAGCTTGCTGTGAAAACATACTGCTGCAGAGAAAAGCAACTTGAAACCGTACTTTGCTTAATTGGAGCTTGAATGTCTGCCTGAGACATCTTGAAATGCAAATGCCCTACCACTGTCATTCCAGCAAAAGGGGAAACATGCCACTGTCCGCTCAATTATTTGCACTGCAACATTGACATTAACCATGCTGATCCGCAATGTTCACTGATCAACATTTGTCTCGGCTTCCTTGAATCAAGCACGGCAACACTATGCGAGGCAGGAGTCGGACTCAAAATGACGTCTGAGGGGTTGCTCCCCAAAACAAAAGCCTTAGGCCTTATGAGGATCCGCGACGAGGTAACAGTAAATAAGATATCAACAAAGAAACAGCTGGTAAAAACGACTATAATAACAACAATCATGATGAAATTAATTTGCTGATACCAATATGATTTCCTGTTTACCAATGTTCATCGGCTACTTGTCTTCTTGCAGAAGCTCCTCGTAAAGACTAACATTAGGTACAGAAGAGAAGCAACATGATAGACACCTAAGGATCTCGTCTTTCAATAGGCTTGACTCAGCAGCTGGGATAGATTTCATGACTACTTTCCTTATACCTCCAAGCCTGATCCCCAGTGGATCGCGCAAGTGGTTGCCCCAGTGAGTCCCCTAAGTGGGATTCGCACATGTTTGTTGCTCCACTTACCATATTAAGCCCACTGAACACATCGCTCGAACACCAGCGCGAACGCAATAGGCTTATAAAACACTTTCGCCACTTGCAGCTGCTCTTGGGGACCGAACAACACTGTGATCGTCTGAACCCAAGGTCTCCATCCTGCACCAAGCCGTTCACCGCTTCAGTGATGGAGCTGGTAACCACTGTGAGCGCGGTCTGGCCTGAGCAACGCAAATGCCAAGCTTGCAAGCCCAGTGGATTTCATTGTCGCAGCCTGCCGCAAGTATCAAGCGATTTGGCGACTCATGGACTTCTCGGCCAGCTACAAAGCGTACCCGAGCAATGCGCCAACGAACCGGACTGCTGGACTGGTGGGAAAGAACCAGCTGAGAGAAGAGCTGCAGGCCTGGAAACCACAAACGCTGCGCTCTTCGGCGCAAATTCCAAATCGCCCAGTCCGCATTCCGAATCCTGGAGATCTTTTTTCAAAGGCTGACTGAAACACCTGCTAATCTGCGACTGGGCCAGCAAAGGCCAAACTCCTGCAAATGAGACAGCCAGGGGCTAGTGATCATACTTAGAAGGGTTCCTGCACTCATTAAGATAGGCATTGAGAACCCTAAATGGCGGAGGTGCTCTTTTTGGGTGTCTGCCATCCTCATGCACCGCCTGCATACCTGGATAAGAAATGGAATACGAACGGCCTGCTTTCCCAGAAACCTCGCGAAGGGTTCTTCCGCTGGATTTCCTGGCGCTATCTTGCATAACTTGGGTAGAATAACTTGAAACGACTTGAATCGACACACTTAACCAAGATAACTTGTGTTAGTCACAGAAGTTGCATCGAGCAAGTTACAAAGAGGCTTGCATCGCATAGAGAATGTTCATCGAACAACCTATGTGGATAGCTTGCATGGAGAGTTTGTATACATAACTTGCATCAATAAACTTACAACAAGAACTTGTGTTGCATAGATGGTTTGATTCTAACAACCTACATAGAGAGCTTGCATACAGAAGTTGTATACATCTAGACGCTTGCAAAGAGAACTTGAATTGCGTTGCGGACTTGCATCGCAACACCTGCGTGGATAACTTGCACAGCTGTATACAGAATTTGCATATAAAGACATTACGGAGATACGCTGCACACATGAAAATTGCATGTCACTTCCGGAGAGAAATAAGTAAAACAAATGCAGAACGAGCTGGCACAAATGAAATTGTGTAGAAACGTGCATTAATAAGCATACGCCTGTACGGAGAACCTGCAGAAATAACGTGCATAGAGACAGTTGAATAGAGTTTGCATAGAACAACAACTAACGTAGACAACTCTAACGTGTAAACTTAATAACACACACAGATCCATCGAACACTTGCAAAGATAACTTGCATGGTTGACTTGCAAAGAAAACAGCTTGCATAGACAACTTGGAGAATTGAACTTACGCACTACACATGCAAAAGGAGCTTGGATTGGGCAGGTCAAGGTGGGTGCTCATGCGCCACTCCGCGGAGATCGAAGGTCAAGCACGTAAGCTTGCTTCTGATTTGAGTTTGAACATGGCGTGGTTTGAACGCTGGCGGTAACTTCAAGAGTAAAAGAGTAAATACACCGCATAGACCCAGATAGCAATGATCGCACACCAGCACCTCCAACAGCACCCCCCGAAGAGCGTCCCAAACAGCACCCGGCCGTCAATCGAGCACCCGCGCCATCGCTAGCACCTCCAACAGCACCCCAAACAGCATCCCAAAACAGATCCTGCAGCAGCACCCCAAACTGCATGCCCCCTGCACCCTGCCGTCAATCTCGCAAAAATGCGCCTGCACCGTCACCCTAAGAGCACCCCAAACAGCACCCCCCCAAACACCCAGCCGCACCCCAAACAGCATCCCAAAACGCCACCTGCACCAGCACCCCAAGCTGCATGCCCCCTTCCACCCTACCGTCAAGATGCAAAAATGTGCCTGCAGCGTCACCTGCATGCCCGATACACCAGCACCAGCACCCCAAACTGCATGCTCCCGTGCACCCTACCGTCAAGATGCAAAAACACGCGTGCACCGTCACCCCCAAAACAGCACCTGCACCAGCACCCCCAAACTGCATGCCCCCTAGCACCCTACCGCGCTGCCATCAGCACGTCAAACAGCACCCCAATCCGCAAAAACCAGCACCCCAAACTGCACGCCCCTTAGCACCAGCCCAATCTCGCAAATCACTTCCCCCTCTTTATTAGAAGTTAGAACCCCTATAGCTTTCAGCTATCTGAGGAATAAGTCACAAGGCATTTGTGCAAGATCACAATGAAGAGAACAGCCCGCACAAACCATGTACCAAGAGTCAGAGCATAAAACACACGAAGCACCGCACGCAAACCAAGTTAAGCAGACCACATAACAGTTTCTAGCACATATGCATATTTCAGAACATAACAAAAACACTACGTAAGAAGGCGCCGCGCACAGAACACGTTGCACAGGTCAATATGGCGCAACCAATTCACTCTCGAACAAACATCTGAAAACGGCAATGTGCCACGTAATCTTATTCGTTGCTCATCCATCCGTTTGGTGTCCAGCACACACGGGTGACATGGCAGCCCCAGCCTGCCAATCGGAATTGGCAACTTGCGTCTGCACGGCAGCAGCTGACTGCCCCATGCAAACAATATCAAGCAATCTATCAGTACCACACAAGCACAGCAGGTGCTGATCTGTTTTCGAAGACCAATGCCCAGTGACTGGAAGATGTCTGGGTCATAGTTCCGATCTGCATGTACTGAGCAAAGGCCTGGCAAGTTGCACATTGCACGGAGATCCTTGCAAGTAAGCTGATTCTTGACACATGGCGGTACGCCCGCCACGCTTTGGAAGCAGCAGGAAAGTCATAGCTTATGCAAACAGAAGAATGCTTGCATCTGCGCGAGCACGGCAGCCATTCGGATTCTTTAACTCGCATGCCGCTTTCACCAAGCGCATGGCTTGAACTTTCAGCATCTGTTCTCTCGCTGACGTGGCAACACTTGGCAGGGGATCTAAGCATTGCGGGAACTCATGTGACCACAAGGTAAAAAAACTTGAGGCCAAAACAACAAACATTGCTGCACTTTTTGACTGGATTCACCAAGCGAACATGCAGCAAACAAGAGACAACCAATTGAGGAGAGACAGGGCAACACACCTGAAAACATTGATAATTAGCGGTAAAAGAAAGTCACGCGCAAACAGACTAGATCGGGCCGCCCACTTGGTCCCATTCCTGCGCGCCTGCTGCCCGTACAAGTACCCATTGCCAGCCTCCAGCATCAAGCGCTGCCAGCCTGCAACATGTCAACTGTAAAAGTGGCCTTCCACGTTGTTCGCAAGGACTGGACGCAGCCCTCATTCTTATTCTTGGCGCCTCTGTATGCACCGCAACTATGCAAATGTGTGTGTGTGCGTATATCCCAAATGTTTATATACATACAATATACGTGTATATATAAATAAAGACTCGCGCTTGTTTTGCCACTGAATGGTGCTGCGCACTAGTACTTAAAGTGAATTGCGCTTGACACATTTGCAAGGCCCTTCAGTGCCCCGACTTTTCCAAAAGAAGCTGCCTGTTTTTGGTTAAATTCCTTGAGCTCATCAGATCATTAAAGTATTGATATGAGTTGAACAAATCGTTTGCTGATGAACATACTGAACCTAATGAATAGATCGTTTCGGGGCCTTTTTCTCGATTAAACTCACTAGCCAAAAGAAGTCACAGTTGTTTATCAAAATTACACCAGCCTCGACCCCAAACAGCAAAAAAACATGACCGGTCTGTATAGCCCAAAAAGTCCATGTATGTCCCTGCAGGAAGTCGCCTTTTTTGCGAAGAGGACACATCGGGTCCAGGGTAAAAGCATCGATGTTGTTCGACTTCGAGGAGAAAAAGTTCGAGAGTGAAGGCCCGCCCTGCTCCATGTTGGAAGGAAGTTTGGCCCAACTTACCAATGTGGACACGACCAGCTTGGCCGGGTTCATCTTGGAGTTGGCACTTATGGTTCGCAGATTGGTGTTCACATGTGTGGTGAACGACCGGCCGCCGTCATTCCAGTGCACGCCGCTGGCAACAACTTCTGGACTCAGCTCCAGCAGCACAGTAATCAACTGGCCGGGTTCATGAACTCTTTCCAAGTTGTCAAGGTCAGCAAAGTAGGTTGCCAGGAAAAGGCTCCTATGCATCAACCAAGTTTTTCGAGGAGAACTCGACAAGTGCAGGGACGATGCGAACAACTCTTACAAGCTAATGGTTTGGTTGGGGACCCGACTCACCCAGGCTTCTGGAAACCGGTCTGAAAAAAAACCTTGGAGCTCGGACCCCCCCCTCACGATGCAACAAGATGATAAGCCCGCCTGCTTGACAGTGTGTTCGCTCGTCCCTCTCTGCGATAGCACCAGATCTCCAAAAGGAAGTAACCAGGAAACCACTAAGCCACTCTGCGATTGGCAAAACGGCTCTTGTTGATGGCCCCAAGAAACCATCAAACACGGCGGCGGCGTTAGCAACTCTTATTACTAGATTATACAGTTATCGAACATGTGTCGAAACATGGCCATGACCGTGTGTCCTTGTTGCAATCACCACATTGAGCACCAGAGCCGCCATTCCGTAATGTTGCTGGGGAGCTCGCCACGCACGCAGAGTGTCCAGCAGCACCGAAACCTTTTGCTTGAACGGGTCGGAATCGGTGTTCAAGGCGTAGTGGAGGCGAAGCTGTGTCGTCAAAGAAAAAAAGGCTGGACCATGTCTGTAGCATGTGTTGGTCTTGATGCTATTAGCACATCCCTCCAGCTTGGTTTCCCGACGAGCCACGTATGCTGCGAGCAAGTAAATCAGAATCTCGCCCGGAGCTGCCAAATTCAAGTCGAGATCTCGGAAAAGAACGTTGATTGCAAGAATGAACTGGAATTGCTCGGATTTCCAAAAATACTCACTGCGGGAGGCTAGCACAAGCGCCATGCAATACAGCTCACGTTGAATTGTTTGGTGTTCCATGGGTCCAGAGACTGTAGGGAAGCTAGCGCCGCAGAGAATGGCACCTTACGACGTCCCGCCAGGAAAACCCTTGAGCCCTCGCACTTGCAAGCCCTGGGCACTTTCGGACACCTGCAAAACAGCAGCGTCCATATTGCGGAACATGTGGAAACAAGGTTGAGACATTTGTTTTCAACCCTTCTGTCAGGAGGCAACGAGGTACGTCAAAGCTGCGACCTTGCCATCACGAAGGTGTGAAATGCTTCAGCAAAATGCGTTTGTCAGTGGGACTGGATTCGACGAGCCGCAGATGCTCCGGTGGTTCCGCAAGACCTACCCCAGCTACAACCTGCAGCCGCTGCTGCTGAAGCGCTACCGGGAACTGGAGGAGGCCCGGGCCTTCAACAACTGGCTGGGGGAGCGCAGGCAGGCGCAGGAGGGGCAACGACACTTGGACGACGTGAGCCGGCTGACGGAGGCCGTGCGCCGACAGGTCCCTCAGCTGCGCTACGCGCGCGCCGAGCGCCGGGGCGTCGAACGGGCGGCGGGCGGATGTCACGGTATTTGTTTATCGAGAACAAAAGTACATACTTTAAGGCTCGACAGGGCTCTGCTGATGCGCCACAAAAATGCAACCCTGCGCTTGACCAAGAAGTGCGGCGCTGGCTTCCACAAAGCAGCTCAGTATTAATCGGATGTTATTGTATTTGTTCAGCTGATGCGCCACAAGGCCGCAAACCTGCACTTGGCCAAGCATTTAAGGCTCGACAGAGCTGAGCTGATGCGCCACAAGGATGCAAACTTGCACTTGACCAAGAAGTGCGGCACTGGCTTCCAAAAAGCAGCTCAGTATCAGCCGTATTTGTCCATTGAATCCAGTCTACATATTTAAGGCTCGACAGGGCTCTGCTGATGCGCCACAAGGATGCAAACCTGAAGAAGTGCGGCACTGGCTTCCAAAAAGCAATCAGCCGCATGTTATTATATATTTGCTTTTTTATCGAGAGAAACATAGACATATTAAAGGCTTGACAGGGCCCTGCTGGTGCGCCACCTGCACTTGATCAAGAAGTGCGGCACTGGCTTCTAAAAAGCAGCTCAGTTTCCTGAGCAACGCAATCAGCCGGATGTCACGGTTTGTTTGTTTAACGACAAAAAATATAATGCTCAACATAGCTCCAACGATGGCACGTCGTTTGCACGCAGGCTAGCAGCAAAATCTGCGACATGGCCTTTCCCCGTTGCGAAACATTGTTCTCAATTGCGCTTGCGAGCTGCTGCCACGTGAGTCGAAGGGAGCCGAAGGGAGCCGAAGGGAGCCGAAGGGAGCCGAAGGGAGCCGAAGGGAGCCAAACGCCTACTGGATGTCAAGCAAGTCAGGTCAGCCCCAAAACTGGGTAAGAAGAAACAGGTTCAGCTGGTTTTGGCCGGGATTCATTTTTCCTGTTGAGGGCTCGAGCAGGAAAACAGCCAGCTGGCAGCAACAAGCGCAGAGACTGGGAGAAGCATCTGCAAAGACTGGGAGACACAGGGAGACAAGTCACGGTATCTGGCATCAAGACACGACCCCAGAGCCAGCATCACAGCATCCGCAGAGACTGGGAGACACGACCCAGCATCTGGCATCCAGACACAGGGAGACAAGCGGATCCGACCGCAGAGACTGGGAGACACAGAAATACAGGGGGAAACGTCCCGGGAGAAACGCTGGCATCCAGATATAGAGCGTCACAGCACCTGGCACCCGACAACCGGAGCCAGAGTCACAGCATCTGGCATCCAGACAGGGCGAGACCACTGCGGAGCCAGTGCCCGCAGAGACTGGGAGACAAAGGGAGAGAAGCGGGAAACATACAGGGAGACAAGCGGGACACGACCCCAAGCCAGGCATCACCATCTGGCATCTGACCGCAGAGACTGGGACGCAGCACACGACCGCAAAGACTGGGAGACACGGGGAGGCAAGCAGGAGACACGACCCCGGAGCCAGCGTCACAGACACGGCGGAGCCAGCGTCACAAACAACGGGAGATGGGAGACACAGGGAGACAAGCGGGAGACACAACCCCGGAGCCAGCGTCACAGCATCTGGCATCCAGACCACCCCGGAGCCCGCGTCACAGCATCTGGCATCCGACCGCGGAGACGCGGGAGACACGGCCCCAGCGTCACAAACAACGGGAGATGGGAGACACAAGCAGACAAGACACAACCCCGGAGCGTCACAGCATCTGGCATCCAGACACAGACAAGTGGGAGACACGACCCCGGAGCCCACGTCACAGCATCTGGCATCTCATCGCAGAGACTGGGAGACACAGGGAGACAAGCGCGACAGCGTCACAGCGTCTGACCGCAAAAACTGGGAGATGAGACAAGCGGGAGACACGACCCCGGAGCCCGCGTCACAGCATCTTGCATCTGACCGCAGAGGCATGGGAGACACAGAAAGACAAGCGGGAGACACAACCCTGGAGCCAGCGTCGCAGCATCTGGCATCTGACCGCAGAGACTGGGAGACACCGGGAGACACGACCCTGGAGCCAGCGTTACAGCATCTGGCATCCGACCGCGGAGACTGGGAGACAAGCGGGAGACACGACCCCGGAGTCAGCGTCACAAAAAACACACAGGGAGGCAAGCGGGAGACACAGCATCTGGCATCTGACCGCAGAGACTGGGACGCAGCATACGACCGCAAAGACTGGGAGACACGGGGAGGCAAGCAGGAGACACGACCCCGGAGCCCGCGTCACAGAATCTGGCATCCGACCGCGGAGACGCGGGAGACACGGCCCCAGAGCCAGCGTCACAAACAACGGGAGATGGGAGACACAAGCAGACAAGACACAACCCCGGAGCGTCACAGCATCTGGCATCCAGACACAGACAAGTGGGAGACACGACCCCGGAGCCCGCGTCACAGCATCTGGCATCTCATCGCAGAGACTGGGAGACACAGGGAGACAAGCGCGACAGCGTCACAGCGTCTGACCGCAAAAACTGGGAGATGAGACAAGCGGGAGACACGACCCCGGAGCCCGCGTCACAGCATCTTGCATCTGACCGCAGAGGCATGGGAGACACAGAAAAACCCTGTCGCAGCATCTGGCATCTGACCGCAGAGACTGGGAGACACGAGAGACAAGCCGGAGACACGACCCTGGAGCCAGCGTTACAGCATCTGGCATCCGACCGCGGAGACTGGGAGACAAGCGGGAGACACGACCCCGGAGTCAAACACACAGGGAGGCAAGCGGGAGACACAGCATCTGGCATCTGACCGCAGAGACTGGGAGACGCAGGGAGACAAGCGCAAGACACACCCGCGTCATGGCATCTGATCGCACAGACTGGGAGACACAGGGAGACAAGCGGGACCCTGGAGCCAGCGTCACACCATCTGGCATCTGACCGGAGAGACTGGGAGACAGGATGACAAGCGGAAAACAGGACCCCGGAATCAGCGTCACACTTTCCTATTCTCTATACCTCAAGTTAGAACCCCAATGCTTCGCTGTTTGGGGAACATGAAGTTCCATTCATTGAATAGTTTTTTCTCGGTTAAACTCATCAAATGCATTGGTTTTTCTTATTCAATAGAATGAATCTAATCTTTTGGTGGCCTTGTTCGAATACATTCACAAAAGTCATTTGACGAAATAATAAACTCATTGAATTTAATCAATAAAATGGCAGCCCCTGTTGGCAAAGTCCAGGGTTTGAGTGACTCTAGCGAATTTAATTGTTTTGGGGATAGATTTGAGTAAATTCATTAAAACCCTGGATTTTGATTTGCCAGAAGGAGCCCCATTTGTTTGGATTAAATGCTTCCTTAAAATAGCTTCGCGATTTTATCGTATTTGATCGCTTTGTCGCCTTCTTCGATTAAATTCATTGATTACAACTAATTTAAATAGCACCGTTAAGTGGCCTGGCAAAGCGGCCCGTCAAACGTTACATGCTATTCCCTCCTACGGGGAGCCCCCGCACCGTCACAAGGGGTCCAAAGTGCTGACGGAGACAGCACAAGCTACAGCACACTGCCCAGGAGTGGCCCCCCGTCGCAAAATCCGAAAGCGTAGGGATACATACGCACAGGCCTCTTCTTTATCAGGGTTGCAATTCACCCCTTTGCATACATTTTGGTGGCTCTGGAAGGACTAAAAGCTCTCTGCTGTGCTTCAAGCCTGCTAGCGTAGACCATTCCTGGGGTTCTTGGAATCGGTTTATGTGACAGTACGCGACAGGATGGTCGGCTAATGGAAGGAATTGCGATCCCTTGCCAACACCTTCTCTCCTCACCTTGTGGTGTCATGTCTTGGCTAGGATCACACTCTCCTTGATCGTTCACGTACAGAGTGACTGCTGCCACCATGGAGGCGAACAAGGGGCCACTCCTTGGAGGGCGAGGGGCGGCGTTTTGCAAGCAGATCAATCGTGTTGGGGATGGGTACTGCTTTTACACTCGCCCGTCAAGTCGAGCGGCCTCTACGGCAACTTGCAAAGCCGCTAGTTTCGGTTCAGCAACGCGACACTTGGCGCAAACCCTGTTTTTTTCATGCTCTCGTTGATCATCCGAGCCACCATGAGCTTCTTCCTTGGCAGTGTGCCACACCCACTTCCCGCTGGCAAGGCGCTTGTCTGAGATATTCCAAGCGAGGCCTAGCGCGGTCTGCTGGCTTGAAGGTAGAGTTTCCGCGTTCAAGATCTCCAGAATCAAAGGCAAAAACTCCTGGCGCTTGGCGCAGCTTTTTGGAAACCTGAACTTGAGAAGCGTCTACCGTTTTGCTTCCGCACCCAGATTCGAGGGGGGTCCGTAACCACGATAAGAATTACAAAACAAAACCACGACTGGAAAAAACTAAAAACCACGGAAAGGTGGCGGCCAAAACAACGACAAGAGGGGGGCCAAAGTCATGCAAACATAACGAGGTAGGTTCCATTCCATTCGTGAACGGAGTCCCATCTCTTTCCCGTGTTGAGTCCCCATTCTATTCCTGAATAAAGTTCCATTCTATTCCTGTATAGAATCCCATTCTATTCCTGAAAAAAAACTATAGAATGGAGGGGGGCCACATAAAATGGGACTCCACCTCATACTATGCGCGAATAAAATCCATTTGCAAAAAGAATCCGGACGTAGAATGGGACAGAGTCCAAGTTTTCAAGAATAGAATGGGACTCTACCCCATCTATTCGCGAATAGGACTCTCTTAATGCGAATAGAAGACCCCTTCTATTCAGGAATGGAATGGGACTCTACACAAGAAAAGAATAGGATACAAAGAGTCCAGTCGCTTCCTGTGTAGAGTCTCTTAGTCCTGTTCTAGGACTTTAATCATGAATAAGCTTGGCTCGGACTGAATGGCTCCAAAAAAATAGATCTAATCAGAATTTCACATAGAACGGGACTCTACCCTGTTCTGTTCGTGAATAGAATGGGATTCTACCCCGTTTTAGAATGGGAATGGGACTCTGAGTAGAATCGAAGCAGTTCCATTCTATTTCCCATTCTACTCGCAATAGAATGCACAGAGTTCTGCGAATAGAATGGAACTCTGTTCCTCTTATAGAGGAACGCTGTCCCATTTTGTTCAAACTCCTATTCCATTCGCGAACAGAACGTGGCAGACAGAGTCCCATCTTGTTTGCGAACAGAACAGGGTAGAGTCCCATTGTTTTCGCGAACAGAATGTAACTCAGTCCATTCTACTCTGTGGGGCTCTGAATAGAATGGACAGAGTCCATTCTATTCGCGACTAGAATGGGACTCTACCCCGTTTCTGTTCGCGAACCGAGTAGGGCTCCAAATAGTATGGGACAACGCTCGGACTCTGAATGCGAAGAGAACGGGACTGTAACCGATCTGTTCACCAATAGAATAAGCTTTGAATAGACAGAGTTCCATTCGACCCGCACGTAGAAGAAACTCTTGAATAGAATGGGACACGACCGTTCTATTCGCGAATAGCATGGAACTGTAAACGATTCTATTCCTTGTCGTGACTTTGAACCCCTCCTATCGTTGTTTTTCCCCATTCGACAGGAAGGGGTTGTTAGATTTTTTGTTGGAATCCGATCCCGCCCAGTATCCTGCTGCTCGCCAGTGGATCCCGCCAGAGCGGCTCGTCAGTAGATCCCGCCGAGTATCCCGCCAGAGCGGCTAGTCAGTGGATCCCGCCGAGTATCCCGCCAGAGCTGCTCGCCAGTGGATCCCGCCGAGTATCCCACCAGATTAGCCCGCCAGATCTCGCCAGAGCGGCTCGCCAGTGGATCCCGCCGAGTATCCCACCAGATTAGCCCGCCAGTGGATCCCGCCGAGTATCTCGCCAGAGCGGCTCGCCAGTGGATCCCGCCGAGTATCCCACCAGATTAGCCCGCCAGTGGGATCCCGCCAAGTATCTCGCCAGAGCGGCTCGCCAGTCAATCCCGCCGAGTATCCCACCAGATTAGCCCGCCACTGGATCCCGCGTCCCGCTGAGGCTTCCTTGCCGGTGGATCCTGCCGAGTATCCGGCCAGTATCGAGCCGGAGCGGCTTGCCAGACGCCAGTGGATCCCGCCATGTTAAAAAGGGGCGATGAGAATTCGGAGTCGAAGTCTCTAGGATGCGGAGGAATTTGTTGTAACGGCCATAAGCTCGTGAGTGTAAAGGGTGGGGATTGCTCGAAGCGACATATATATATATATATATATATCCGCCGACATTGCTCGGCGTGTCGGACACCTAAGAGAGGATAGAGGATAACCCCCCCCCTAACCCCCCCCCCCCCGCCCGACGTCTCATAAAGGAAGGACCGCGCGGCAATTTGATGGTGTCGCAAAACAGGGGTCCCAGGCTCGATTCCCGCTGCCGGCTCTTTGCTGGTTTGGGGTTCCTGCCTCCTTTTGCAGAAAATCTGGAAAAACTCTGTGTTTTTGGACGTCCTAATTGTGAAAACGCTGGAAAACCCGTGTTTTTTGCTGGAAATATTGGGGAGCAGAGGGGAAATGCAAGGAAGTGCAAGTGAAATGAGGGCAGGAAATAGGAAGTCGACATGACAGGAAAGCAGCGGGACATGAAAGGGAAACAAAGGGGAACTGAAAGGGACATGCAAGGGACAGAAATGAAAACAAGGGGAGCGCAGGGGGAAGGAGAGGAAACAAAGCACAAGGAAACCAAGCACGACGGGAGATGTAGGGAAATGACTCGCAACGAAAGAACGGGACATACATGGCAAATGAAGCGGACATACCGAGAAAATGTCAGGGACATGAAGGGGGGGCTGAATGGCATGGAAGGGACAGGACCAGGACATCATGGGAAACGTGACAAGGACATGAAGGGGGAAAGCCAGTAGTGAGATGACAGTTCAGGGTCATGCAGGGGCAGTGCCCGGACATCGAGGCAACTCGGGGGGGGGACGTGACGCTGCAATGCAGAGAGAGAGAGAGAGACAGAGAGAGAGAGAGAGAGAGAGGGAGAGAGCGGGAGAGAGACAGAGAGAGAGACAGAAAGAGAGAGAGAGAGAGACAGAGCCACAGACAGAGCCAGAATCAGAGAAACAGAGAAAGAGACAGACAGAGAGAGAGAGACAGCGAGAGAGAGAAAGACGGAGACTGAGAAAGAGAGACACAGAAAGACAGAGAGAGAGAGAGAGAAGAGAGAGAGAGAGAGAAAGAGAAAGAGAAAGAGAAAGAGCGAGAAAGTGAGAGAGTAGAGAGGTTCGAATTAGGGTGCCCTTTTTCTGTAGAGGGGCGTGGACAGGAAGGAGACAGGGAGACAGAAAGAGACAGAGAAACAGAGACAGCGAGAGAGAGAGAGTGGGAGATTGAGGAGAGAGAGGCTTGGGGGGATGGGGAGAATGGGGAGCAGAGGGAGGGAGAGAGGACGACAGAACGCAGGAGGGAGACAAGGGAGAGGGAAGAAGGAGAAAAGGGAGAGGACAATGTCGGCGGACTGAGCCGGAGGCTCTAAAGTATATATTTGCTTCTTGTCCTAGTTTGTGTTTTCTTGTCGTGGTTCGGCAGCCCCCTGAGATTCTGCTCCTGGATGAATATCTAAAGTGTCAGCATGTGTCAGCATCTGCTGGGTCTACAATTGCCCTATATTGCCCTCCCCAGCAGCAACATCAGGAGGGTTTGCTGAGGAGGTCAAGCCGCAAGAGATTGGTGCCACCCTCTCAACGAGTACACCGAAGATCTCAGCCAACAATAGTAGCCATTCGGTCCTTTTGAGACCCAACGAAAACTCCATTCTTATCTCGGCAAAAACCTCCAGCAATACTAAATCAAATCGAAACTCAACCTCGGTGTCGGCAAGGCTGGCCAAATCTACTATCTAACCTCAAAGCATTTAAATTGATTGGCAAGCAGCGAACGCAGCAGGTGCTCCCGCCTATGTGATCGAGAATCGCCAACCAGATGCGTATTTCAGCACTTCTTCAATGGGAAGGGATGCCTGGAATGATACTTGAATCGCGTGGATGGCATCATCAAGACTCCAGCCGAACACGGGATTACAAGTCCGAGATAAGAGCCTGCATTACCTGTCCAGGGATTCCGATTCAAAGCCTGACCGCGTCACATTGCAAAAAAGGCACTTCGTGCTGTTGGCAGCTCGAATGGCAGTCCGATCCTCGAAGTTGAAACTAACCTCCCTCATTTGGTGAACTGTGCACAACTTGTTCAGCACTGGCACGCCAGCCTCGGCAAATGGGGGGAGGTTGAGGACGTTGGATTGGCCGAAACAAACGCAAATGCAGCAAAACTGCCAAAGCCCATTGCGCTGGAAGATCCGTCCGAAACAGAGTATCAGTGGATTTCATACCGCTGTCAAACGTGAGACCCTGTTCACGCTCACAGCAGTGATGACGATGACGTGAACGATTCTCACGTGCTGTCCACAACACCTTCGTGCCTTGAAACCTCGCCCTGAAGCAAGTCTCAACAATTGGAAGGGTTTTGGCACCGAACTCAAGATTGGCCGTTGACCTCAAAGACCAACATCTTCTTCGGCGCACATACTCGCACCGTCTAAACTCGTTGAAGAACAATTTTGGAGGTATTCCCGAAGTGCTGAAGATTTTCCTCCGGGCTAGTTTGTGTTCAAATTACATCACTGCAAGCTTCTACGCCTATACCCACCATTGCACTAGTACTTGACGATATCTTAAGCATTTACACATCTGCGGCAGGCATTGCCCAGAAGGCGCCGAGTTGCCCAGGCAGCACCCTGGATGATGCCATAGTGGGAATTAAAAAAAAGCAGCTGCGTGTTTTTGAGGCTGGCCAGGTTGTCGGAGACACTGACTCCCAAACCTCATGCGACGCGCACACTCCTTCTCACCTGTCCTCAAATGTCTGCCTATGGGACAACAACCCGGGGCTGAGGCAGCTAACGAGTTCGGCATCTTTGCGTCTCCTGTCCCAATCACATTCCAAATCAATCAACAAACCCAGAACACTTGACCCTTGAAACAGGATTGGACGCCGCTCATCGTGTCATCGTCCCTCAGTCATTGCAATGTTATGGGCGTTCTCAGCTTTGTGTGTGTGTCGACGATTTGCAGTACACACTGCGCGCATAGAGTGCAGTTGCCGCTGCTTGCGCGCAGGCTGTCCTGGGCAAAACAAAAAATGATTTGTGTGTGTGTGTGTGTGCAAAAAGCAAAGGTGTATATTTGATTGGCCGTCGGTGGGCGCATGTCACACGTTGGGAAACGGCAATTCCACGGATATCCAGTGAGCCAGCATGGGCCAGCTCCATGCCCAGGCATTGCAAACAATTTTCGCCAGCAGCGCATGCGCTTTACACGATGGCACTACACCCAATCATCGCTGACGATGGCCTGCAGTAGACGTGGCTGCTCCTCACTGATTGCATGCTGACTTGCACATTTGATTGGGTGAAGACGAAGGCTCAGAAACAAAACTGCGACAAAAGGGAATATGGATGATGTTGTCGCTCAAACATTCCGAGTCTACAAGGTCACATCCACAGAACGCATCAAGCACCTGACCGCGATGCGTATGAATGGACAATGCGATTCTGAACATCAAGAAGCATCGAAAGGAACCCATGCAAAACAAGAGGCACAGTTGAAAGGACACGCATCAACGGAGCGATCAAGAGTGGACGGACTCCTGTCAATGGTCTGACGACCGCGAGCACTACAAGAAGACTTTTCCATGCCCAAGCAACTGGAGTTACTGCTGGTGATGAAGAGCCATCACCAACAAAATGGCAACACAGCTTCCTCAAGCAGATCAACCAAATGCACCATGTATCCAACCGACAAGATACCACCTCGACCATCTCAGTTTCTCTTTGCACGTCTCCAAGATGATGATTCATATTCACAGACTTTGTCAACGGCGATTTTCCATATGTGGCGAGCGGGTCAAAGTTTCACACAGCCGAATCTGACGTGGCCATTCTGATGCACATGAGTCACTTCCTGTAGCCATTGTTTGACTGGAAACTGTGATTTCTACAACTTGGACTCGGCTGCAATTTTGACTCTGGAAGTTCTGTGCGTCATCAAAAGTTGTACTGGAATTGAGACAGCTAGTTTTGTTCCTCTTTGGCTTGAAACTTGACCTCCACACAATCGCTACCCTTTCCGGCTCAAGGCCCTTCTTCATATGGATGGTACAGTTGGCCTACAAGAGAAAATGAGCCATTTGCTGTCCGTGCCTTCAAGAGGAAAAAGTGAAGACAAATAATTCCTCAACCTCCAGTTGAAAATTCCTTTATACTCAGAAGTAGATCCAGGAACTACGCAACATAGATTGAGGGGTCCTGTCCCCTCAATATCGGTCCACAAAGGGGAGGGAGGGATGGGTCCATTTAAGAATATGCATACAACTGACAAGATATGTTGCATACAGGCTGCCCTGGATTCGCACAAGCTCCGTTGCCCGATAAACAACTGCCTCATGGAACCTGACCTTCAGCAACTGCGTCTTTAACCTTCAATATCAAAGGCCTCCCAGCGCCCATCGCATGCCAACAACATGCATGCAGCCACGCTGCATTGTAGCCGCGGAAATATCCGGACATGTTGCAAAGCATCTAATTAAGAATTGCACTGCGGTTCGCATTTCATAATGATTTCCACTAGCTATTTCACCGTCTGCAAGAGCACGCCTGACATCCAAGCGTGCTGCAAGTCAAGCTGCCAATCAGCAAAGCCTCTTTGCAAAGCCTTTGGATGAGCATGCGCTGCCGCCCGGCAATGTCCACCACCAGGCCATTGGTTGAGGCGCCGTCGCTCTTAGCAGCATCGACAAGCCTTGGAGGCCAGCCACAGCGTGAGTGCTATCAAGGCTGAATGGCAAGGACCTGGATTTTCAAGCTTGTGACGAACCGAAATTCAAATTTCCGCTGGCAGACAAGGTGTGTGATTGTAAAACAAAGAAAATGTGACGGCCTCAAATGAACAGACGTTTCGAGACAAAGACAAACAGGTGGCAAAACCAGTAGACAGTTAGAGACAAAGGCACAAAACAAGACAATGATTGAAACAACGAGTCATAGACAAGCGCAACTCACACACACACACACTCACACTCGGACGAACAAACAGAAACGCACAGCAACAAAGAACAACCAACAGAAGCAGTCAGAACCAAGCAATCAAATAATATTTCATAGGATAGTTTTCCCCCCCAAATGTGATTTTGAGTGGCTTCGGGTCCAAGAATGAAGAAACACACTCATTTTGAATCTTGGGCTTAGTAGGGCTTAGTAGGCCTTAGTAAGGCTTTTTAAGGCTTAGTAAGGCTCAAGCACGTTTTGGCTTCGTAGTGCCAGCAAGGCTTAGCAACTCTCAGTAAGACATGGCCACCACTCAAAATTGATCATGAGTGCTACTGAGTCTTGCTGAGTAGTTGGAACCGTAATGATTCCTATGTGTGCTGTGATTTTTTAGCGCTCATTTGTGCTGGAACTGCGCCGCGCACTGAACAGCTGTGAATTGAACATCAGCGGATGTAGACCTAGTAGCACTCAAAAGCACTCAGTAGCAATCAGCAAGCGCTCAGTAGCGTTCAGAAAGCACTCAGTAGCAGTCAAGAGTCACTCAGCTGCACTCAGCAGCACTCAGAAGCACTCAGCAGCACTCAGCAGCACTCAGCAGCACTCAGCAGCACTCAGCAGCACTCAGCAGCACTCAGCAGCAATCAGCAGCACTCAGCAGCACTCAGCAGCACTCAGCAGCACTCAGCAGCAATCAGCAGCACTCAGTAGCACTCAGTAACACTCCGTAATACTCAATAACACTCAGTAACACCTTAAAAAACACATTTTGAAATCCCGGCTCAGCAAGCACTTAGTAAGCACTCAGTAGCACTCAGTAGCACTCAGTAACACAAAGTAGCACTCAGTAGCACTCAGTAGCACTCGGTAGCACTGAATCACAACCCAAAAAACACTTCCCGGCTCAGCAAGCACTTAGTAAGCACTTAGTAAGCACTCAGTAGCACTCAGTAGTATTCAGTAGCACTCAGTAACACTCAATCACAACCTAAAACAGCACATTTTTGGCATGCCGGCTCAGCAAGCACACTCAGTAGCACTCAGTAGCACTCAGTAGCACTCAGTAACACTCAATCACAACCTAAAACAGCACATTTTTGGAATGCCGGCTCAGTAAGCACACTCAGTAGCACTCAGTAGCACACCCAGGACCTCTCAATCACCCCCAAGAACACAGTACATGGGCGATCCAGGCTTAGCAAGTATTTGGTAGCACGCAATGACGCTTCGAGCCCCAGGCAAGCTTCAACAAATCCAAGCTTTGCTATGCAAAATTGAAGCTTGCCGGGCTCAGTAGTGCTCAGCAACACTCGGTGAGTCTTACTGAGATTTTGACATTTGGGAGGGGGGGATACAGGGGGGGGTTAACTAACGTAGAAACAGAAAGTGAGAGAGTGAGAGAGAGAGGGAGAGACTGACAAAGGAAGAGACAGAGATGAGCGAGAAAGGGGGATGGAGAAAGCCACTGACAGCGAGACTGAGGCCCAGAAGGACAGGCGACAAAGATGGGCAAACAGAAATAGGCAAGAGACAGACAAACAACTGTGCAACGAGGCAAACAGAGGCAGGAAAGCAAATAAGGAAAAGCACAAGCAGACAGAGACAAACAGAGATATGGGTACGGGTTCAGACACGGTTCAAACAGAGATACAAACACGGGCAGAACACAAACAGAGGCAACCAACCACAAGTGGACAAACGAACGCAAGCACAAACACACATTTTGCAAAAAGCAAGGTGCAGGCAAGCGGGCAAACCAGCAAGTAGGCATACGCGAACGCACACAGTGACGACCGCACACACACACACAAGCACAAACACAAACAATCACAACGAAGAACAGACAAACAAACTAACAAACGAATGAACAAACAAGCAATCCGACAAGAAAGCAAGATGGCAATCAAGCAAGCAACATACATACATTATACACATACATACATTCATACATTACATTACATTACATTACATTATACTACATTGCATTCCATTGCAGTACATTACATACATACATTACACACACATACATAGATAGATAGATAGATAGAAAGAAAGAAAGAAAGATAGATACATACATACATACCATACATACATACATACATACATACATACATACATACATACCTACATACATACACACATACAAACATAAATACATTACATACATCACATACATACATAAATACATAGATACATACACACATACATACATTACATTACATTACATTGCATTGCATTGCATTGCATTGCATTACATTACATTACATTACATTACATACATACACACATTACATTACATTACATTACATTACATGACCATTACATTACATTACATTACATTACATTACATTACATTACATTACACACATACATACATGCATACATACATTACTTTACATTGCATTGCATTACTTACATACATACATACACATTACATACATACATACATACATACATACATGAATGAACACATACACACATTACATTACAATACATTACATTGCATTGCATTGCATTACATTACATTAATACACACATACATACATACATAAACACATACATACATTACATTACATACATACAGTACATACACACATTACTTACAAACATACATACACACATACATACATGCATACATACACACATTACATACATACATACATACGTTACATACATACCATTACATTACATTACATCACATCACATCACATTACATTAATACATTCATACATACATGCATGCATACATACATAACATACATTACATACATACATACATACATACATACATACATACATACATTACATACATTACATACATTACATACATTACATACATTACATACATTACATACATTACATACATTACATACATTACATACATTACATACATTACATACATATATTAAATTACATTACATTACATTACATTACATTACGTTACGTTCCATTACATTACATACATACATACATACATTACATACATACACAAATACATACATTACATTACATTACATACATTACATACATACATTACATACATACATTACATTACATTACATACATACATACATTACATTACATTACACTACTTACACACATACATACATTACATACATACATACATTACATGACATTACATTAATACATACATACATCGCATTACATTACAGTACATTACATTGAAATTGATACATACATACATACATAAATACATACATTACATTACATTACATCACACACATACCTACCTACATACCTACATACATACATTACATACCCACATACATTACATACCTACATACTTTACATTACATTACATTCAGTACATTACATTACATTGCATTACATACATCACATTACATTACATTAATACATACATACATACATACATACATACATACATTACATTACATTACATATATACATACACTACATCCATACATTTCTTACATACATACATACATACATACATACATTACACACATTACATACATACATACATACTTGCTTACATTGCATTACATTAATACATACATAAATACATACATACATTACATTACATTACAAAACACACATACATGCATACATTGATACATTACATACATACATACACACATGCATAGACAGATACATACATAGACAGATACATACATTACATATATACATACCTTACATGCATACATACCTACATACACGACATTACACTACACTACATTACATTACATTACATGACATACAGCCATACATACATATACTACATTACATACATACATACATACATACGTACGTACGCACGTACGCACGTACATACATACATACATACATCCAAGCACGCACGCGAGCATGCATACATTGACATACATTACATTACATTGCACTACATCAAAATTACATTACATGACAATATATACATCACATGTCATGTCATGTCATGCCATGTCATGTCAGGTCATGTCATGTCATGACATGACATTACATACATACATACATTACATACATACATACATTCATACATTACATACATTGCATACATTACATACATTACATACATACAATACATTACATTGCATTACATTACATACATACATACATCCATACAAATATACATACATACATACATACATACATACACTCACACATACAATTACATACCATTACATACCATTACAGACCATTCCATACCATTACATTACAATACATGACATTCCGTTAGGTTACGTTACATTGCATTCATTACATTACATTACACTACATTACGGTACACTGCATTACATTACATACAATACATACATACATACATACATACATACATACATACATACATATACTACATTACATACATACATAGATACATACGTACGTACGTACGCACGTACACACATACATACATACATCCAAGCACGCACGCGAGCATGCATACATTGACATACATTCCATTACATTGCACTACATCAAAATTACATTACATGACACTACATACATCACATGTCATGTCATGTCATGCCATGTCATGTGAGGTCAGGTCAGGTCATGTCATGTCATGTCATGACATTACATACATACATACATACATACATTACATACATACATTCATACATTACATACATTGCATACATTACATACATTACATACATACATTACATTACATTGCATTACATTACATACAATACATACATACATACATACATACATTAATAAACACATACAGTACATACATTAGATACATACATACATAAATTACATTACATTACAT